GTGAATAGTTTCATCTCCACTATTATTAAGGTATCAAAGTCATTTTACATGGTCACGCATTCATTATACCTAATTCTTTCAAAAATTGCGTGTAAATAAATAAATTAATTCACAACAAACAAAAAATTAATACAAATTCGATTAGATCATCTATAATAGAATTACAGATATGTTTCTTGTGTAGACAAGAAATAAATGATTTGTTTAATAAAAATTAAGAGCCTAAACCAAATTAAGCGAGTCCAAATGATAAAGCAGCCGTACCTTTACTCAGGAGGATTGTGATAGACGCGACTCCAATTCTCTCCAGGCTTATTTGGACGGTGAGCAATTTCACTGTAGCAAGGTGTCCGACTTGCAAAGCCTCAAGGACCACAACTATCTTTCTTCAAATCATCACAATCTTTATATTATTGCGGGCCATATTTACATTACTCGGGCGATTTTCCTGTACTGTTGATCTCCGAAATTTACCCGGCTGCTCTGAAAGGGTGGCATAGTTCCGTCCCCCCCCCCCCGAACGGAAATATGCTGATGTCAACACAAGGAAACGCATTGAGATGATTTTGAATTTATGAATTTATTTTTAAAAAAATCTTTAACGTCAACTCGACCTATTTCTTCGTTAAAGAAAGCTGATGAGTCGGCAGGGGGCGTGCGCTAGACGCAGTGTTCTCACCCGACATGAATGCAAGCAATTTTCACTTTCGACAAAGAACCTTTCACAGGCCACACAATAAACGTCATCGCGGGCCGCCTGTTGGACAACCCTGCACTGTACCATATCGACTGAGCTTCACGAAACGATGTGTCAATATACGCGTTTACCTCTCACCAGATATCAAGGGAACCTGGAACTCTTTTATCATATAGTGTCACTTGCGGACTAATCTGTCAATGTTGCAAAAGGAAAGGTAGAAATTTGTATTTATTTTAATGCTTTAGAGGCTGTGCCTGATTGATCCCTTACAGTCGCATGGAGTACTGCTCTGCCCAAAATGAAATAGGATTTTGCAAAATGTTTTATTAATATTTTAGGGCATTTTCCATTTTAACAGCATTTTTTTGTTTTTGAAAAGTAAAATTTCAGCATTTTTACTATCGAGAGCCGAAAAGAATAAAAAATGAAGTGACGTTTTAGATTCACAAAATAAATAGAACTCTTCTCCCCAGATTTTCTATAACTGTCGTGTCAGAAAACTACACAAACGTTGATGTCCAAACGCTCGCCGCCGTATTTGTTGCAAAACGATCTCGTGAAGTAGCCAGAAACCTCGAACGCACACAAAAAGGCATTCATCTTGCTCTTTTCATTGCCGTTAGAAAAGTGTTTCTTCTAAGATCCTCATGAAAATCTATTCAATATTATTAATGATACCTTATATTCCTTATTTGACTTTTGAATTAAGGTATCTACAATTTCAGCGTACCAGAAATTCTTCTTTACCAGAAATATGAGGTGACTATTTTGAGAAAAACGCAATATAGTAGGCGACTGCCAGATGGTCACATATCATCTCCCTAACTGCTACAGACAGTCATTATCTCATTAGTCTACGCTACTCCAAGACGTAAAAACTATACGCCGAGCTTGAACACAAGAAAGTGAGACTATCAGATTGCTTTTGGGTCTCGACTCGCAATACTTACGTCTACATGCAGATAATAGAGTTTATTTCAATAATAATAATAATAATAATAATAATAATAATAATAATAATAATAATAATAATAATAAATTATAAACCAGTTATCATGATTGACCATGTTTTAGTCATCGTCAGAATTAGAGAGACCATGTTTTATAATTGATAGTATACTGGAGAGACTTTGTATGATAATTGATAGTTGTAAGGACAGACTTTGATTGATGGAGAGAGTGCAAGGTCCATTAAGGGTTGTTAGCTCCCGCTTTCACGTCGTTAAATCAATTTCCTTAACTTGACAACCAGTTCGTAGCGGACGCGTTTCACGATGTTTCGAGCAAATTAAATGCTTGAGAATACGGAGAAGACCGTTGTGGGGGTTTGTTGATCTGGATCTTGTCCTTTTCTTTAAAATGTCCCATGGAGTGCTTTGTGACTCGACCATTTCTGAAAAGGCAGACATGTTTTGATTTTCAAAAAATAAATAAAATAATAAACTAATTAAAATGACTTGACTCAGTTTTCTTTACATTTCAGGATTCTCTGTTGGGAGATGTGGGTAGGACGACTACGACAGGCCGGTTAGAGCGTGCAGGGGAGACGGGTGAAGCTGCATATACTCATTTACACTCAAAAACATTTTAGACTTCGAGAAACTTCACAAGAGATCGTTTTAAGCATTTGTGTCAACAAGAGCATAAAATTATTAAATTTATCTCTAATTATATTAACGACGCACAAGAGAATAGAAGAATTACAAATGTAAGTTTGGACACGTAAGAGCTTTAATTAAAATGCTGCGTAAGGTCTATGAATTAGGGCATTGTGTTCTATCTGATCAAATTTTTAAAGAAAAATTTGGGAAAGATTTTAAGAAAATGTTTAGCTACGTTTGGAATTTTGACACAATTTATTAAAAACTACACAAAAATGACGATGTTTACACTTTATAAATTACGTAAGTAAAGCCACAATGTTGAAGAAACGATTGCTTTAAGAACACAATTTCAATTTGAATAATGGCGTAAGAGAGCTTAAAAAAGAGGTAGTGCTTTTGTAAGTTTCAAAAATTCTGAACATTTAATGAAAATGCAATTCTTAGCGACTATATAAGTGCACTTTGCTTTATTCTAGAAGAAATTTAAAGAAAAAAATGGAATTGCCTTTATGAACATTTTGAAAATGATTTAGGGGTTTCATTTTAAGTTTCCCCAAACTCGAAAGATCTGTTTAAAATTATCAAGCCAAGAAGAGTCACATCAATCAGAAAATACTCATTTAGGAAACAATCCTGCGAGTAGTTTAGGCGTGTCATTCACAGAGAGAGGGAGAGAGAGGGGGGAGAGGAGAGAGAGAGAAAGAGAGAGAGAAAGAGCGAGAAAGAGAGAGAAAGAGAGAGAGATCAGACAGATGTTTTTGGAGGAGAAAAAAAAACTTTTACATTCTCGCCTTAATTTGTAAGAAGATCAAGCATTGCAATCGTGATAAATTTTGTTCCCATATGAAGTAATTTACTTCATCTAACATGTTACGTAATGAATATCCATATTCTGAGGGCCCTTGATACCAAAAATCGATTATCGTCCGGATGGCCGAGATCGTTGTGGCAGCAGTGCCGTAGCGAGCTTGGAGTGAATGATCGCGGGAGCGAGACCCGCCTCGGGCATGGTTCTATTTGTGTTCGTCCTTTCACCTCCTATCATCACCATATCATGACATCATAGTAACCATAACGTTAAGCTCTATAGTGGTCGCTGATGACCTAGGTGTTGATGTGACCTTTAGTCACCAACAACAAAAAATCGATCGACGGCAAATCGTCTATCCGTCGGTGTTCAATGCGGGTGCATTTCAGACTACTTTCTTGAAAATTAATATTCCTAGGCCGATATGAACGAACTGTGAATATCTGAACGTCTCTGTGAGATTGAAACGGATATTTAGGGGGGAGGGGGCATCTTGATGTAAAATTTTCCAAATTTTCTCAAAAATGGCTCCGAATTTTTTATTGAACTTTGTTATTGGATAGCGTATAGAACACTTCAAAAATGGCGCTGTTCTGATGCTCGCAGAAATCTCTGATTTTTCGAAAGTTACAAAAGTTCAAGTTTCTTCCTACAACTACAAAATTGAAGATAGATATTTTTTCTTAATCAATTTATTGTTCAAACAAAGATCTTAAAATAATATTATGTACAATTTTCTGAATATATGAGTAATTTTTGCGTCAAATATGAGCAATTTTTTAACTTTGTTTTTCAACTTCTCAAAAATGTTTCTTTAAGTTTTCTCCTCAAATGAAACGGATAAAAGTGGTGCTGGTGTCATTTTCGGCAAACTCTTATGTTTTTTTCGAAAATTTCAAAACTTGACATTCCAAAAGTATATTGATGGCAGAGATTTTTTCTTTCAGAAAGTCTGTTCTAGAAAATTAGGCAGGAAATTTTCGCGTAATTTCTGCCAGAAGTTCATCCCATTTATTTAAAAAATCTTAAAACTGGCTCCAATTTTTTTCCTAAGAGAAAAAAGGGCACTTAAAAAATGGGGCCGGTCTGATTTTCGTTGAACTCTCTAAAGTTTCAGAAATTAAAATGTTAAAAATAACATGAAGTGCGTGTTGCACTACTTTCGGGAACCTCCCAAACGAATGTATCCGCCAAATTTCGTGTTACTGTTTTGTTTTTGTTTTTCCGTTGTACATAACGTTCTCCATATTATACATAGGAGAAAATAAAAATTTTTCCTACTCAGACTGTAGTGTCAGATAAAATAATTGTAAACAAAATTGTTGACTTTTGAACAATAGTAAAAGTTGACTGCGAGTGGTATAGTACATGTTGACATTTGTAGATGACAATTTACTGTTTGTGTAATTTGAAAGGTAAAACTGGAAATTAATGTCTACATCTATTCATCGCATTAATTCAGAGTTATTTGTGGATGTTTATTCTGAAATATTTAAATGATCATGGAAATAATAATTAAAAGTGAATCCATTAATGGAAACATTACCTGACTGCGTAAAATGAATTAGGTTGATACGTGTACAGTTTTTAAACTACAAATCGGTAAATGAGTTTTTAAATTAAAAAAATGAATTTTTTTTTAAACAGAAAATATGTGGGGAAATATAATGTTTAAGAAGACGATGTCAATAGTACACATAATATACATGTCTACGAGTTTGTATACATTATGAATATAGATATGTATGTATATCCGTATACACAAATAGTGTAGATGTAGTACGGTATTGTACATGCGACATGCGTAAGCATTATTTGATTGTAAATTTCTCCTACAGGTGTCTCTACGAAACGGCAGGTAAATACAACGCTAGCTCCCCTGGCGGTACCAAGAGGCAACTGCTCTCAGCCGCAATTGAGTGGAATCTGACATGTATGCAACTGGAGAGCAAGGAGGCCTTTCGGGATCTTTTGTGACGTGCTTGAGTGGTTATGGGGGGCTGCAACTACTGGGGGTGAACTTGCTGTCAGTGCATTATTTGTAATGTTATTTCTGTGAAGAAAACGGCCAGTAAAAATGTCTGATCTCTTCAAATCAGCGATGGGATACTTCAGTAATAGTAATAGTAGTGGGCAAGACAATGAACTTGTTGGACAAGTAGTGGAAGTAGGAAATAGTAAATTACGTGTGAAGAAAGTTATTGCAGAAGGTAATAAAGGTTAAGCGTCAGTTAGTGTACAATGTAGACCAAAATCTGAAAGTAATTTGTAATGTAATACAGGACATATGCACTTTCCCACTTGTCATTGCTGTAACTTGACTATGTTGAAAAATACTTTGATGGATTGTGTAGGTAGTGGAAAATGTCAGTATTTCCAATTGTGATTTTCTTTTTATTAGGAGGATTTGCCTTTGTATTTGTTGCCCAAGATGTCAGTACCGGGAAGGAGTATGCACTTAAGGTTAGAAATCCAAATGTTTCAAATATTTTGTTTCCTTCCTTGACATGATTTCTTATGCATTGTTAATTATTCAGAGACTGATGGCTGCTGATGAGGATGCCAAGAGAAATATAATGCAAGAAATCACTATTCTTGTATCCTTTCATACAGATGAGCTGCATGAGTTGAGTTATGTGATACATAATTATTACAATATTTTGCTTATGTTAACACTGTTTTTATTATTATCATTATTTGTGTATCCTTAACTTGAAATTAGAAAAAATTGTCTGGCCACCCAAATATTATTGAATTTGTTTCTGCTGCTTTTATTGATAAAACAAAAACAGGGCACGGAATGGGTGAATTTCTTTTATTGACAGAATTATGTATGGGTGAGTATTTTACTGTTATTACCCCTCCTGTTTTTTGTTATAATTTCCCCCGTTAACCTGATTCTTTGGGTTTCATAGGTGGTAGTCTGGTAGATGTTCTACAAGCAAGAACAACTGCCTTGTCTCCAGATGTTGTTTGTCGTGTTTTTTGGCAGACCTGTAGAGCAGTTAATCATATGCATTCTCAGCAACCCCCTATCATACATCGGGACTTAAAGGTTTGCAGTTCCAAATTGTTTTTGTAACGAAAGCATCTACACTACAGTTAATTATATTGTGTGCTCTGTTATCTCTTCGTTAAAACATTTTGTTGTCAAAATTTCTCTTGAATTTGTTTCCAATTAAAAATATATTCTGTGATGTTAATGTTTGGATGAATATTCATTTCATGATTCCAAGAATAAAGAAATTTACATTGAAGAAAAATGGTAATCTGATTTATAAACTTTTTGAAGTAGAAAAATATGAAGAAGTTTAATTTCTTTATTATCTAGAAATTGAAGTATTATTGTGATAATTATTTTTTTCTCAGATTGAAAACCTTTTAATTGGAGTTGATGGAAGTATAAAGTTGTGCGATTTTGGAAGTGCAACATTACAGACCTACCATCCAGATCCTTCATGGTCTGCTAATCAAAGATCTCTTCTTGAAGAAGAAGTAAGTGATATTTGTTGAAGCTCCTGTAACTAAAATTACTAGATATGAGACTTCTGAAATATGAATTGTTTTTTTCTTTTTTTTTTTAGATGGCTCGATACACAACTCCTATGTATAGAGCTCCTGAAATGGTAGACACTTGGAATAATTATAGTATTACTCATGCATCAGATGTATGGGCTTTAGGATGCGTTCTTTATTTGCTATGCTACATGCGCCATCCATTTGAAGACAGTGCCAAACTACGTATACTTAACGGCAATTATAGTATCCCCAGTGCTGATAGTAAATATGCTTGTTTTAAAGATATTATCCGTAAGTACACAGCAGTAAAAAGGATAATGAGATGAAGTTTTGGTTAGTTCAATTTTCTATGAACAGTGCTATTTTGCCTTAGGTGGATGTTTGCAAGTGAATCCTGTTCAAAGATTGAGTATTTCTGATGTGTTGGATCGATTGGGAGCTGTGGCTGAAACCCACGGTTATAGCCTAAAGGAACCTTTGAAATTGGAAGGAAAGCCAATTAATTCTAATCCTAGTCCTGGTTAGTATTTATTCATAATAGTGTGTGTAACTACTTGTAATTGTAGTGAAGGACCTTAAAAATCATTCTTGTTGGAACTCTAGTAACATAATTTTGTGAAACAAAATGTAAATTAAATGCTTTAATTTTTTAATACAAAGCATACATATCCTTACACTGCAAATAAGAAAACTGGAGTGTTTATGATTATGGAAACATACATTTTTTGCAAAAGTAGTTCTCAAATTGTAGACTTGCTTCCCAAAATATAGTCATTGGAATTATTGTTTATAAGTAATATTAATATAGGAAGAAATGATATTCAAATCTTTTAGTTTCATAAGAAAGTGTGTGCCAAAACCATGATTTTTCATTATATAATTTTTTATGGATCTATGTGAGTAGCCCAATAAATTTCATAAGTGCCTAAGTTCACTAAAGTCCAAATGATGCCCAAAATATCCTAAACAGTTATCTAAATTTGCTTCTTATTACTTTCCAACAAGCCTCTTAATTACACACATGAAAGTAAGCTCTTCAATTATGTGTTTATATCAATACAAAATAAAATAAATATGATTTATCTTATTCATGGAACATCAATTGAATATTTATGGTGTATTTTTTGCCTTATAGTGCACACTCCAAGTGCTCCTGATGCCAGTGTCCCGCCAAAGCAAACAGATTCCCCCGAAGGAAGGAAGCCTCCACAACGACCTAGCAGACCTCCTGCATCCCCCCAGCGCCCTGAAATGCCAGCGAGGCCTGCTCCTCCTGTACATCACCCTCCGCCCCATGCCGCTCCGCCGTGCCCACCGCCCACGTACCAGCAGCAACCGCCCACCGCTCAAGCGGCTGGAGGTGGTGGCCTTTTCTCCTCTCTGAGAGGAGGAGCCGGTAGCTTCTTGAAGAACTTAAAGGACACGTCTAGTAAAGTAATGCAGACTGTACAACAGTAAGTATCATTAAAGGTTATGTGAACATGAATAAAAATTTTTAATGATGTTATTTGTCATTTGTCCAATGTAAACATACCACTGCTCCAGGATGTATGTCATAAACTAATATCATTAAAGAAACATGCATATTGATAAATTCCTTTACTTGATCTTAACCTTCAACTTATCTTAATCATAAATTATAAAGAGGTTTACTTTTTCAGATTATTACTCGCCTAGAAATTACGTTATTGATTGTGTGGATTACATTAAGAAACCTAAATTGTTACCTATTTATTGAAGAAGGATTTTGTTTTTCTTTCTGTATAAAATGGTTTATTTATTTATTAATTAAATATTAATTAATTTATGGCCTTAAAATATTGGTAAATGGTGTAACTTATGATGACTTCCTTAAACTCTTTAGATCATCAGTTCTAAAGAACTCAAGTGAGTTGACAAATTTGGCAAAGATTTAATTGTTCTTTTCTTTACACAGGAGCATTGCAAGATCTGATCTTGACATTAGTTACGTTACATCACGTTTAGCAGTAATGCCTTATCCTGCAGAGGGTTTGGAGTCTGCTTACCGCAGTAACCATGCGGATGATGTGCGTGCGTTTCTAGAGTCTCGACATCCTGGTATGTGCTCTCCTCACCAGCTCAGATTATTTCAAATTATTTTTTAAAAGCATTAATTATTGATTGTAATGTGACGCATGTCCCAGCTACCATAATTAGTTTTTTGATGTTGTGTATCTGATACATTGTGTCTTAAATTGAAAGCCTCATCTATAGATAAACCTATGCCACATTGTCAACAAAAGAAGATATTACTGACATTGTCAACAAAAGAAGATATTACTGACATATTTTCCACATTGATTATTACATTTTGGGAGTATCAGAGTTCTGGTGTAACATGATACTGTGCTACAGATATATTTCTTCTTTGATCAGTGATGAGGAATATCAAATTGAAACCTTAAATCTTTGTATTTTTCAGTAATGAATTCAATGTGCCATAGAACTACATAGAGCCAAGCCCTTTAACTTTTTCTCCTTTCATTAAGAAGTGGCATTGTGTTCTCTGTTCTGTTTTCTATTTTTTTTTGTTCTCTCCCTATGGCTCCTTGCACTCTCTTTCAGTATTGTTCTCATAAATTCATAAATGCTACAAGATTTGTGATATTAATATTTATTTTTTTTTAATTTAATGTAGAATTCCATAAATTGGTTTATTAATAATAGCCGATTAATTTCATCAAAAGATGTAGAAATACCTTTGGTATACATTATTGAATGTACTTCTAATTTCTTAATACCTCCATTTGGAAACATCTGGGTTAGTTAGTATGTGGCGAAAGGAGTTCAAAGAATTGAGTTTTATTCATTTAGGAAATACATTGAGCCCTCAAAGTAGTTGAAATGATTATATGTGGAATTGGGGAAGCAAAATACCCCTCAGACCAGATCCTGATTACCTAGTTCTCCAGAGCAGGAAGAAAATTTGCCACTCTCTTTATGTCCCTTGCAAGCTGTAATCAATATACATCCACATTTCAAAATGTTCACCTATGTTGTCCTTACCCATGTGGTGGATTGTGTTTACTTATTGACTGAAAAATCTTTTTTAATTTCTGTTATATGTAATGTAGTGAAAATTGTAGAATGCAGGAAAAGGGTTTTCTTTTTTTCCCTCTCTTCTCTGTCTTTTCATTTGTCTGTCAAAACCACTAGTGCAAAGCTGTTAAAAGGTGTTTCACCAAATTCCCTGATGTATCTGGTTGATGTGGTCCTTTAAATTGGAAATAGAAAAATTGATTTTGATGCATACTTTACACAAAGGCTCAACACAATTTTCAACATTTTCGCAAAAATGATTCCAAATCTTATCTTGACAATTTTTCTTGATTAGAGCAATGTCCACCTATAAAAATGATGCAAGACTAAATTTCATTAAAATTATGAATTTTTTCAAATTTCAAAAGATTAAATTTTGATCAGAGTCATCCTACAACTTGAATGTTGAAGTTGATTTTTTTTTCTTAAGATCTGTTCTTCTAAATTAGTTCTTCAATTAATTTATCATATTCACTTTTTATTTTGTTGCTTTGCTACATTTTCATAGTAAAGGAAAAGTCTTGCTAATTATTAATAGAAAAGCTCTTATTGCCATTCCTAGAATGTGAAAGATGGATAAATCTTGTTCTTATGTTCAGTAAATTACTTCCTTTAATAAGATGTGTAATAGTAAATATCCACATTTTGTGGGTCCTTGATTCCGAAAAATCAAAAATGGCGGCAAAAATGTCCATCTATAGTCAATGCCGTTTTGACTATTTTCACCAAAAATGATATTTCCCTACCAGTATCAACATACTTGTTTTATTGAGATCCACGAAGTTTGAAACGGATATTTTGATTTTTGGAGGTACTTGACGTAGAGCCTAAATAACATTTTTCTTTTTTTATACAAAAAAATTATTCGATTAAACATTGTCATTGGATAACGTAAGGTAAACTTTAAAAAATTGTTGCAGTTTTCTTTGTCTTTGAAATCTTTGAATTTTCGAAATCTGCAAAAGCTCAAAATAATGTCAGCCGCTTCCTACTACTACAATTTTGAAGATATAGGTTTTTCCGTAATGAATACTGTTGTTTAATGACCGCTCTTCAGATAGTCATATACAAGTTTTCGAAAATGTAAGTTTTTGTGTAATATTGTGTCAGTTATTGGCAATTTTTTAACAATTATTTTCACAAAATCAGCTTCAAGTTTTCTTTAATTTTTTCTCGTATGTGGAAGACGGTAAAAAAGTGATACTGGTTTTATTTTTCGCGAATGAAGCGAAAACGTTTTGCAGAAAATTGCAAAAAATTAACATTGCAAAAATACGGTATTGATAATAGGAAGTTTTTAGTTTCTCGCATGCTGCTTGCGCTGTATCCACTTTATTTTAGTAACCTGCGCCAGCCCATTACTCATAGTTAGACCCCTTCCCATCCACTAATCGAGGCAAGAGAGTCTCGGTATTCTGTTGAGGAAGTAATGATAGTTTTGTATTAATTCCGTAGATTCTAAAAATAAAATAGAAAAGTGTGTTTTTGCGTTTTGTGGCGCTGCCATCTAGCGGTGGTCGCGCGAACTGTGTGTCCTAGCGCTATCGTGTCGGTTGACCCCACAATCTGCTGTTGTGCCCTTTAAACGGCCCCAAGAAGATGAATGACATAGGGCGCTAGAGATTGTATCGCTCGTACGCCGCTTTTAACAATACGCGGCGCAGGGCGGCGGAAGGAAATGGTTCATCGTTAGCGTTGCTAACATGGAGGATAGGATAATTTTGTAATATATGACGTACACGATAGTGCTAAAAGAAAAAACGCATTTTGCAGAATAATTTCAAAAACAAAATTACATTCTGATATTAGTATGGAACTATTTGTTGTAGAATAGGAGCTGGCAAATGTACTACAAATTTTGTTTAATAAGCCGTTTGATAATGCATAGAAAGATTGCAAGGCAACTGCTAGAAGCGTTCTGATTAGGTTCTCATACACCGTTTGCTCTGGGGTGGGTTGTAGCCGAAAGAAAGTTCGACAGGAATAGATGTGGCTAGATATTTTTTGTATTTTCTATTGTTTAATTTTAATTATTCATAGATTATTTGTTTATGTCCTGCGCCCAAGGATGAAAGAGCCAGACAACTATATGTTTAAACCATTTTATTTAGAAGTTGCGTAGTAGATATTTCTAACAAATAATAATTATTTACTATACAAGTGGGAAAAGTGACCTTTATTTTGCGAGTAGGAAAGCTGGCAATGCGAGCCGAGTGACGGAATCCTACGAGCAAAATAAAATCACTTTTACCACGTGTGTTATGCATTATCTTTTTAGACAGCCTTAGTGACTTTATGTCAGTTTCGGCCCTTTTGGTTATTTTGGTCCCTCCGCTCAGACTCTGTCAGTATTTTGTTTTGTTTGTTGGATACACAGATTTATCAGAACACTGAGCATCGTCTCACTTTTAGCACTAGTGCTAACAATTAGCACGCTAGGCATGCCCTGGAAGAGCCGCTTTTAGTAGTGGCTGTCTAAAAAGTCTATCCACGACAAAACGTCCGTCCTTCTGTCTGCGACCAACACCAGCGAGTAAACTGGTCAGACGATTTTCTCCAAAAGTGATATTTCCCGATCGAATTATATGAATTCGATACCCTTTGAGTTTGAAACGAATGTTTTGATTTTGGGAAGTACTTTACATAAAGCCTCAACGTTTTCTCAAAAATTGCTATTTAAAAAAAAAAAATTATTTAACTTTGCCCTCGGATATCGTAAAGGATGCTTACGGAGCACTCTCATTTTCGTTAAAATCCTTGATTTTTAGAAAAGGGCAAAAGCTCCATTTTTTGGCGTCTTCCTAGAAATACAGCATAGATATTTTAAAAAAGCAAATCTGTTGTTCAAAAACAACAGGAAGGTCATATACCATTTTCCGAAAACATGAATTGTTTTCGCGTAATTTGTGTGAAATGATACCGGTTTTAAACTATTAATTTAAAAAAACGGCCCCAACTTTTTTCTTTACATTTTCTTCTCATATGTATAAATGTTATGTAATGTTTTATTTCAAAGGACAGTATAAAAATAGGTGCTGGACCCGTTTTACTGGACCCTTTACTAATGCTAGACAACGTACCGTTGCACATAGAACTGCTGTAGTACCGTCTGCGTGTTAGAAGCTTGGCAGTTCAATGCGATGTTGCTATACATTACTACACTATTTTATACACACATGGCATCACCTACATCACAGATAAATTAAATCGTAAAACATGAACACTTACAGTGCGTGCGGCGTTATCCGAATTCATTTACTACGCTCCGTGAAGTTTCGGAGGTTAAGTGAATTAGAGACTTAGCGGATTCTCGGTTGGGTGACGTCTAAGAACCGCGGGATCTAACGGCTTCGAGATCCTGGCCGAAGGGATAAAAGGCACTGACTGGCTGTGACATTGCGAGACTCGACTAAGATAATAATTACTAGGAGGCGGATTTTGATAACCTAAGACATTGCCTAAAATGCTTTAAAAGTGACTTAAAAACAAAAAGGAAATTGTCGTAAAAAATTTATCAAAATCACTTCAGATGAACCACTCAAGTTGTTGGATGTGTTACTGATGTAATCAAGGTAATTGCTGTAAAATAGGCAATTTTCGAAAATATAGAGAGTTCATCAAAAATGGAACCTGCGCCATTTTTATGTCCTTAGTTTGCTCTATTCCAGGAAAAAATAGAAGAAGAGTTGGGGATTTTTTATGATTTTTATTTTTTTTTTTTTAATTTTAGATGACCTTGATTAAATATCAAACTTTATAGACCAGACATTATTATGCAAAAAGTCTCCATCTTTAATATTGTAGTTGAAAGAAGTCACCGAAAAAAATGTTGACTCTGTAATTTTTGAAAATTTAGACTTCAACAAAAATGTGATCTGCACCATTTTTTCAAATGTCTTCTGCTTGACGGAAAAAAATTAGAGCAATTTTTAGAATATTTTGAAAATGTTGAGGATTCATGAAAAAAATAACTGTGAAAGCCAAAATATCCATTTTAATTTTGAATCAAGTTTGTGAAGTGAAGATTAAACATCAAGTGCAAAAATCATACTTATGGTCTAGGAATATTGTGTGCGTATGTTTTCTTCAACCCGGAATATTGATCTCCACTCCTTTACAAACATTTTTTAAATTGTGAATAAATGATAGCAATGAGCATTATTGACAAAAATCTGGTAACTAGAAGTGTTCTCTCTTGTATAATAAAATCTACTTTGCAATAAAAAATTTAATATAATAGTCTTGCCATTTCCCCAATCCTCTCTCATCTAGGGAAATGAGGGCTCAAGAAAACGTGCATGGATAATAACAGGCATGATTGATGACTCAAAGGACTTGAGTTCGAATCTTGGTACTGAGAACAAAAGATTTTGCTGGTTGGAAACACTTTTGAAGTTTCATACAATAACATTTGCATGTACATAACAAATAACATAAGAAAATACACGCTGTTGTGGCATCAGTAGTGTCAAAATATGAGTAGTTTTTGCATAATTATGAGATATTTTATCTAGATTTTTTGAGTTGTGTGTGAAGAGTTAGTAGTATAGAAAGTGCTATATAATGATATTACATAATCATTGCCAGTAATATGATGAAGTATGTGTTTTCCTGCACCCCTAGTTAAGTCCCTACTACCATTTCTTTCAACCAAAGCAGTTCTACCAGAAGTTTCTAGCTACAGGACCAATCTGCCCTTGACATTTGTTACATTGTATACATAGATTTGTTATGTTTAAGTTAGTAATTAACATATGTTTTTCCACTGTTAATTTATGAATGACTATAGAAATACACTAAACATTTCGGAGAATTTGTATATTGTTTGTTCCTATTCAATGATGGCATTCAGAAGTATTTAGAGTAGCCTTTCAAATCTGTCTGCTACGTTACATATAAGAGTGTATTTCAGAATGTTATAAAATTTGGAATGCTAAGAATCAATTCTTATTCGTTTAAACTTTTCATTGAGTGGTGCAGACAGAGAGCAAAATCAGTAATAAGCTTGTATGTACTCCAAAATATTATGCTTCTCGTCAGTGAATTTCAAGTTATTCAAAAATATGGAAGTATTCAGAATTTGAAGAAATCTCCTATTACTTATTCTAATTATCTCCTATTACTTACAATGGATATATCCCAAATCAAAATGTGAATTGAGATTTCAAAATTATGTAGGTCTCGGGTATATGATGAAAAGAGAGGAAGGAAAAATCATTTGAATTTAATTTTGGGTATTTACACAGAGTTACAACTGTGGTTTCTTTTCAGGTGGGCGTTACGCTATTTACAATGTATCTGGAAGATCTTACACTGCTGGACGTTTAGGAGGTAGTCATGTGGTTGATTGTGGCTGGCTAACCAGTGCGGCTGGAGGGCTTGTACGTCACGCACCCCCTCTGCATACTTTGTATTCTCTTTGTGAAGATATGTACATGTTCCTTCAGCAAGATCCCAAGAACGTGTGCATTGTACATTGCACTGTAAGAGCATTTTACATTTTTTTTAAATAATAAAATGTTAAATTTGATTAACAAATTTATTTTATTTGTTTATTAGGATGGAAAAGCAGTTTCAGCAACTTTGGTATGTGCTTTCCTGATGTATATTGGAATGTTTCAACGACCTGAAGATGCTGCACAAATGTTTGCAGTGAAACGTATGCCTCCTGGACTACATCCTTCAGAAACTAGGTGTGAACAAATGTATCAACAGATTCTGAAACATCTCCTTTGTTGATTTAAGAACAAGAAATGTTCATGTTTTTTTCTATTATACTGATTTTCAGTTCAGTCACCCAAGATGCCATCTATTTGCTACCAATTCTAAGAATAAAAGTCAATTTAATTTAACATTTTTAATGACTATTTTACATCCAGACATGAAATGATAAATGCAATAATTACTATTTTGGATCCAGAAAATCTCATGCTGATTAATAGAAAATTATTTTAATTCTTCTAAAATTAGATTATAAGCACATAAAAGCAATAGCTTTTATTACCCCACATAAAAGCAGTTTTATAGAAGAATGGATGTGCCATAAAATTATTTAGTAAATGGTAAAGTAATAGAGAAAGGGAATTCATTTCTCTCGCTCTTCTCCTTTGTATTCTTCACTGAGAAACTTGACAAATATTCTGCTTCATGTGTAGAATGGTGGGAAAATATTCCATCTTCTGTGATTTACGTAACTCAAAGAAACTACATTTGAGGTGTATTTTTAGGAAGAATGATTTTTAATGTGGATAAATTTCAAAATGTATTTCCTCCTGTTAGATATCTGCAGTATATGAGTTATATACTGAGGAAACCTCCAGTTTTTCCTCATTTTAAACCTGTCACACTTGTTGCCATTACTCTTCAACCAGTCCCTCTCTTCACCAAAGTCAGGTAAATGTTCAGGAAACATTTTAATTTAATCTGTGAGATGTAATGACTGACAGTTTTTAACTTATGTAATTTTACTAATTTGTATGGTTCATCTTATAACAGAGATGGTTGTCGGCCTTATGTTGAAGTGTACCAGGGGGATGATCGTGTCCTGACCACAATGCAGGAATATGAAAGAATGAGACTTTTCAACTTCACTGAAGGGAAGGTAAATATTTATCATTTTGATTATTAAAATAGTATGTAGCTTCTCATGACTTTTTTAATTTTCTGAAAATGCAAGTGAGAAAAGCTTAAGAATGTGTCTGCAGAGAGCATAACTGCAACACAAGAATCAAGGATTTATATTTTTTTAAACCGTTTAGAGTAGAGCTGACATTCAACTGAAATCATTTTGATCATGTTTGCATTTTGTATCTTTTGGGACAATTTTGCATCAGTTTCCCCTTCAATTTAAATGAAAGATATAGATGAGAGAAGAAAGTGGCATAAATTTAAATATTAAGAATTAAAGAATTACATACCTCTAGATATGTACGAAATGTCTTGGTTGGCCTCAAGAGCAGCCCAGCAGTAATGTAATGGTAGCGTGGTTCATTTCAGGCTACTCTCCCTCTCAATGTGACTGTCCTTGGGGATGTGACAGTGGTGCTGCTACATGCTCGACAGAACTTGGGCGGAGTCATGTCACAAGGTCGACCTACAGGCATCAAAATGGCGCAGTTTCAATTTCATACTGGCTTTATTTCGGATGATGATACAACATTGCGATATACAAAGTAAGTATAACATCATAATGATTGTGAGAAGTTCATTTAACTTTCCTGCAATCACGCTCTAGTTTGTAGCACTACCAGTTGCACATTGTACTCGTTACAGCATTGAATTTTCAAATTTTTTTTTCTACTATTGTTGTTGTTAGAGACAATATCTTTCAGCCATATTGTATTTTCATCTATTGAATGTTTAAAAATATCTACATGAAACAAAATTTTATAACAAATCAATAAAGATGTTGAACAATGCTAAATATTCTATTTAATTTGTACTTGTGTAGCATATTACTTTGCGGTATAAAATTTTAGAGAATTAAGAGTTTTCAGTATTCATGGTATCATGTATTCATGTATCTCTAAATTTTGTTTTACCATCACTTGATCATGTTTTTAAACAAATCCATCTTGGGAGCATTGCAGTTATTGCAGACAATTTTCTTGTTTGAAAGATTCCTACAAGTATATCTTCGACAAACATTGCCAATCATTGTTGTAGCCTTATTCATAAAAAAACTTTTTCAAGGCACTTCTTTAGTCAGACAAGATGGAAGTAGGTTTGCTGCTCTTTGAAAATGTCTGCTGGTGTCAAGATTACAGGAAACCTTTTATAATAAGTGGCAGGCTCGGAATCTTGCATTTGGTCAACATGTGTTCCTTTATTTGTTCGAAGCTGAATGTTTTCAAATAGACTCGAAGTAAGCATAAAGCTGAATTTCTGATAAATTTGAAAATAAATACAAGACTGGTGTCTTGTTGCCATGTTGCTTTCAGAATTCAAAGAACTGATAGGAAAAAAGATTAGGGAGGAATAGATTCGCCTGAGCAAAGGCAGTATCTTTGTGAAAGGTGAAAGTGAAAATCCCAGACTCTTATGTTCAGTGCATTCCTACAACCAGCGGAAGATTAATATTCCTAGTAAGATAATAATTCTGAAGTAAGATATTAAGTGTTGGTTCTTTAAGGACTTAGTGCCTCTGCTGAAAATAATACCTAAAAAAATTAATCATAAAATCCAAGATTTTGTGTGTGTGTCAAGCACTTGGAAATTGCTGTCTGAGTGATGTTGCTGTTGTTATTTTATTTTTGAACCTTTTTTGAGTGTGGTTTTTCATTTTGCAGATCTGACCTGGATGAGTTGGGAAATCCAGACCATTACCAAGATCGATTTTTGGTAGCAATGAGTGTATTTGTTATGGATGAGGAGAAGAGGCCTACGAAACCCATGTCTTGGATGAAAAGCAACAACTTTGTCCCTCAACTCAGCGTGCTATTTTCAACACGAATAGAGCAAGAAGAATGCATTGACACCTTTTGTAAGTAAATGTCATTGAATTGGAATATTTTTAGATCTTCCAAAAGCTTTTGACGTCATTGATCATAATGTTTTACTTTCAAAATTAACTTCATATGAAATCCGTGGTATTGCTCTAGATTGGTTATGTTCATATCGTAAACAACCGTCTCAGAGAGAAGAAATGCTTTACTGAAGTAATAGAACTTTATGTTCCCACTTTTCTGATTCCTTGCCAATTGCACATGGAGGTCAGCAGGGATCGATTTTAGACCCTATTCTCTTCCTACTATATTTAAACGGCATGCCCTTGAAGATTCAAAACAGAAGTTCTCTTTGCAGATGATACAAATATTCTTTGCAATAAAGAAATTGTAAATTGTGCAATATCAGATTTTCAAATTAGTTTGGCAATAACAAATCAATAGTAAATGAAAACAAAACAGTTTCAATGCAGTTTTCTATTTCAAATAAACAATTCTGTTCTTTATTGAAAATGAAGTGTGCCATTGACTGATGTTAAGGTAACACTTTTAGGTCTCTCAATTCAGTCAAACCTTACATGGAATGTCCATTTATATTAATGGAACACAAAATTAGGTTTATTACACTTTCAGAATTTTTTCAAATTCAGTCAACCTTCATACTGATCGTTGTATATATTTTGGAAATGTTCATTCCTGCCTGAGATATAGCATAATCTTCTTATCTCCCAGAGAAATACATCTTATAGCTCCCAGACGTTTAGATTACAAAAAAGAATTGTATGAATAATAATCAAATTCCACCCATATGATTCTTGTATGCTTCTCTTTATTATCTAAGTATTTTACCATTACCTTGTCTCATGATTTATGACTCAGTGGTTTTTGTCAAAAATGGCTTTCAGCCGGCTCAGGGATTGAACGCGTCCTCCCAATTGCGAATCCAGCGCACTACGCACTGAGCCACTTCGCTCCGTAATGAGAATTGACTTGTACAACAAAGTTTTAACTTTAGTGTGATTAACTTAGGTATTCAGACATATATTAAATATATGACAGGGGCAGTTGTTTAGCACTCTGCACATTCTACCATTCAGGCAGTTATCAGTATAGGTTCGTGAGTATGTTTGCAATGCAAACTTAGCATTACATCTAAATGCTTGTTGAAGAACTGACATTCAATAGTTTCAAAACAATTGGGCTATCTGTCAGCCAATGAATAAGTTTAATGTGGGTGATTTGAGTGATACTAAACAAAGAATAGCTGCTAATTCATGATAATTGTGATTAAAAAATGGATCACTCAAACCAAAACAAATCGCAAGAACTTGTGAAGCAGACAACAGATGAAAACATCAGTATCAGTTTCACAATCATAACATCAAGAATTCTCAGAATATTAATAGTGTTGAGTTCTAAATAAGTTCTTCTAATAAATCCACGTATATTATTGGCTTTGTTGAGTGTGTAATTTATACGATCCGAGTATGACATTTTGGAGTCAAAAGTGTCAGGGAGATCATGAATAGCTTTAACAAATTGTAAGGCTATTAAATTGATTGTATAGTGACAGTAAATTAGTGATTTTAATTGTGAGAAGATAATAGAATTAAATTAAGATTTTTATGAGTACACCATGTAACAAACTCGTTTATTACTCATTGCACTAAGGCGTTGTCTGATATTACATATTGATTTAAACTTTTGCAGTTGTCACCAAAAGTAAGAATTCAACATCTTTCAATAAACAGACGTTAACCAGGATGGGAGCCTTCTGGCACACAGACCTGGAAAGCTGTCTGATGTTTTTTTATTAAAACATGTTTTGTAATTAGTACTTAATTTTATATTTTTGATGTGGCACTCCATTACATCAGTTCAGGGTTATAAACATTTGTAACATACTCATAACATTAATTTGGTTGAATGTTCAGGGATATTGAACCTTTCAATGGGAGCTTAGGGTGAATGTGATAGCATGTGAGCATAGGTGAAAGCAATAGTGCTTTATTGCAGTGTGAAGTAGCCAACTCAGTATGCCACGGTGGCAACCCTCCATGTCCACACATTAACCGTCTTCAAAGAGGAAAATCCTTTGATGTCTAAATATGAATACCTGCAAATACAGGTGAATGTGCATGTCGTCTCAAAATCTTGAACCAAGCGGAAAGGTTAATTGAAATTGCTCTTGAGACACCTACCAATTAGGGAAGGGGGATCAAGGATGAGGTCTATCATAGTTTCTCTATCTTTCTTTGGGCAAGGACTTTTATTATTAAAACATTTCTTAACTAAATGATAGTTTTGTTTTTCTACCTGTATCAGATATTTACAAAAGAAATGGCCATGTGTAATCGCTTTGTATAAACTCCATTCTTAAAACATTCTTAAAATTAGACCTGCCCATAAACACAATGAAATCATATTTTAGTATCTGTTGATGTAGAGATCAGTTGTGCCCTAAGAGCAACACGGTGAATGTTGAACTAGTTCTTCAAAAGAAGGAAGAGAATGTTTATGCCCCTACAGAGAAAACATTTACAGAAAATGTTGAAAATGTATATATGTCCTTGCTGTACCTCAAAAACTGTAATAGTTTAATACAAACTTCCCAAAACTGAAGACAATATATGCTTAATTCCTTTAGCATTAGTTCTTAAAAATAAAACCTTTTCCTTTAATTATATTGCATTCAATCTGGGGTCCATTGTGAACATCCTTTCCCACCCCAGCCCTGTGTTTTCTCCAGATATCGAAATGGCATTGCTGTGCAACTCTTAATTGTTCACTGTTGTATCTTCTTTGTAATACAAAATATTTTCTTGGTTTTCAGGTAACAATCCTCCTAGCAAAGCACCTCCTGTTCCTGGACCGCGTGGTGTTCGTCCTCCTCCTCCACAAAGGCCACCAGGCCCTCCACCCAGTGTTAAAGAATACAAAGATGATGATTCACAAGAGGAGTCAAAGGTAACTTCAGGGGGGAACGGATATATTCGAATCTGTTCACTTCTTCTAGTAAACATAATCACTCATTTTATTTAATAAATGACATACTTTTATTAAAGGGAAACAAAGCACACTTATGGATGGGGAAACTTTATTTCTATGTTTTTCACAGGAATAAAGTGAAAAAATGTGTAAGCGAGAAAAATGTTAAACTAAAAGAGAATTTAGCAAAACTGGTGAAATAGAATTGTTTTATTCAGATAGTTCTCGCAGTACATAAGATTCTGAAGAAAGAAAGTTCTCAGTTTTGAAGAGTCTAGTCTCAGACTGTTTGCTTTCCTCTGCATCTAAAACCTACATTTTCCCCTCGGAGTGGGATAATTACCCCATAATATGTTATTCCTGCATATTTTGTATCTTATATATACAAGACAAGGTTTGTTTGTTGGATCATACTTACTGCGCTGCCATATTGTTCATCGTACAAACAGATAGAGGGACAGATAGGAAGACAGAGACACAGAGAGAGAAACAAACAGAAACGAGTCAGAGAAAGAGAGAGGCAGAGAGAGAGAGAGAGAGAGAGACAACCACACTTGCAAAAAAGTCTTTTGCCTATTGAAATTTTTGCAGAGTGTATTGTAAAACATGATTAACAACCACGTGATCAATAGCATGTAAAGTGTAATACATTGCAATAACGAAGCATTGCCAGATTCACTACTAACCTATAAATTTTGGTTTATGTCATGCAATGTTTTCACAAAGCTATACCTAATGACATTGGCACTCTTATCCTTTCACCCTGTGTTTTTCTCAAGTCCTCACAGTTGTTATTGGATTCCATTGGAAAGCTGGTAGGTCCTGCATACCAATGAAACTAAACAACATGGACACTGAATCAAACGCAGATGTTTCAGATGCTTGTAGATTGTAGTTATCCTTCTCACTCATAGGTTATCTACGTCGTTATCTAGTTATTACACAGTTGTGACTTTTAATAATAATACCTTCAATGCAGTCAAATAGCCATATAAAATACATTAAATATCCTGCACAACACGCACACACACACATTACATTTTTGATTAGCGTAGTCTCTAATGGATAGTTCCCTTTTACTGCAGAGTTCTATGAAGTAGCGTTCACAAATATGTCCTCATAGTTTACATTTACATGTTTCTGTTGGTACTTGAAAAGCTGTGTTGTTACAAGTCCTATGGTGAAAGACACGTACTGCCTTTCTTGTTAGCTCATGCCTAATGCTAGATATTGGCTAAATTTAGCATAGAGCTATATAGAGTTTAGCATTGTCGCTGCCTGTGGAGCGGCTTTGACCAGGTGGTCCTAGCATTTAAATACCAATGGTAGTGGATTTTTGACGTTAGCTAGATAGCTGGGACTAATTCTGCTGTTGTGTGGAGGAGAATTGTTACAGCTAGCAGATCTGATTAGTAATTTTCTCAGTTTTTTTATCAATAGGAGATTAATGCCAGAGCAGTACCCTTACAAAACAGACTTCGGACCATCTTCCTCCGTCCGCCCAGGAAAAGACATTTAAAAAATTACTTAGATCCCATTTTCACTGAACTTTCTGAATTTTTGAATATTGCGAAAGTTTGAACTGTTTTCAGTATCTTGAAACAACTACTGAGTGTTGTTCAATTATAATTGTTGTAATCATTTTAATAAGTAGGGTATATTACAGATCACCTGAGGATAGTTTTAAAGGTAGAAATCCAAGACACTGTGTAAAATAAAATAAAAGTAATGGTGCAAAGTCTTCTTTAAAATTTCATTTAATAACAATAGTTTCCATGTTGGATTGTACTTAATTTAAGGGGTTAAAGATGAATTCCTCTTAAACAATAGCAAAGATAACGAACAAACATTGGTTTGGTTTTCATCTTGCAAAAGCAGTAGACAGAGCGAGAAAAGTTGTTATGGAGCAAGATAAAACAAGGAGTTTGTAATTTCTCGTTATTTGCTTTTCTTTTAGTTATTTTTCTTAAACAGGGTGATTAACTAATTTGAATAATCACTTCCACAATGTTACATAGATCATGGTATTAATAAAATGCCATTTGTTGATGTTATAAGAATATTCATAAGCATTTAATAACAAACTGTTAACAGTTGTTTAAGAAAACATTTCAATTCATGCAACTCTGTATTTCCTAAAACAATCAGTTGTATTTACAAAAAATTCTCTTTTTTCAGCCTAGTATCCCTGCTGAAAATGGAGTTGCTGCAAAACCCCCCAAACAACCAGAGCCAGATCTCCCTCAAGAAGCAGATTTACTGAACATAGACATGGATGGTTCAGGAGACAAACTGGCTTCTGATGTAGATTTACTCAACATCTCTGGTGGCCAAAAACCATCTCAAGCCCCAAGTAATGTGGATCTCCTGGGAGGTTTTGAGGCTTCAGCGCCCTCTAATACCTCACAGTCATTTGGGGGCTTGGATGACTTGCTACAGAATGCTGGCGATCGGACTGCTCAACCACAACCAAATGTTTTATTTGACCCATTTGGTTCTTCTGGCAATGCCCAGGTTTGAAATTTATATTTCCGTATAATAAATAACAGTGAAAAAAATTACAGTGCAGTGCTAAATTCTTAGCATTGTGAAGTTGAAAAAGAGGAATTATTTTTATGTAATTGTTTTCCCAATTACTATTACACGTCTTCCTTTGGACAACTCAGAATGTTTTCATTATATGCTCAGTGTATTAAGTACATGATTTTATAGAACTGGTACATGGATGAGAATCACTGCTAATATTTACTTTAAAAATATTTTCTTAATAAATTGCAATTATTACTTTTGGTGTTACAGCTTTGAGAATTGCACTTCTTGGTAACCTTGCTGTATAACAGTTCATTTAAACGCTTTATATCATCCATTTTTGTTTCTATATATGTTTAATAATATAACCATGGAGATGATTTCCACCTAATTTTTGACATGTATAATGCTTTTTTTTTCCAGCAATTTCCTAGTACTTCACCTGCAACTCCTGCTTCCACTGCAACCACGTCGCCCTTACATCATCCAGCAGGCTCAGCCTTTATGGGTGGCTGGGCCTCCCCTGCTGTGCCGCCAGGTGGTATGGGAGCAGGCCTCACTCCTCCATCAATTCCTCGCAATGCTAGTACACCGAATTTGGAAAGTAAATCTCGAGACCCTTTCAGTGATCTAGGTAAGTAACCATCTGCTGATTCATATTTTACATGTGGAATAATACTGTATGTTATGTATGTGTGTGTGTGTGTATTTATTATATATTTTCCTCTCTATCGATTTTTCTTCCTTAGTCCTTTCGCCCAGTTTACAAGTTTAAAAACACACATCGCTTTTAAATGAGAATTAAAGACAACCCCCTAATTTTAGAGACGCCCTGAGAATTTTTTAAAATGTTTACCTCTTCTTACTATTTGTTTAAGATAAAATTGCAAATTGTCTTGTTGAAGGAGTGTGTTAAAACTTAATGCCTCTTTTGTTGTTATCTATAATTATCATAATCATAATTTTTGTCACTATCCTCTTCATCTTCACATTTATCATTGTTTCTTTCTTTTTAGTCCTCCTCCCTTACTGTGATGCCCTCTGACTTTTTAGGTCCCTCTAAAACTTTTGCACATTCAAATTTGCGTTCTTAGTCTGACACCACCTGAGAATGTTCGCTTCTGTGTCATCACAATTTTCTCCTGTCCCACTCTTTCTTGCTCATGGCAACTGATTCTCCGACAGTTCACTCACATTCTTTAATAGTGTGTACTTTAAATTTGCATTGCAAACAATGTTTTAATGATCAAATTGTGAACTGTGATATCGTACGTCTCTGTATCTCTATTTTGCTGACTACTGTTAAGGATCCAATGAGAAATTGTGTAAAAATATCCTTAGACACTGGTAGGCAGCAGCTGGAAAGAGAGTGGGGCAATACCACAAAGCTAGTCCAGACTATAGAGATTAGGAAACTAATTACTATGAGAAAGACAGAGCAATTCTGTTGCACACTAAGAAATTTCTATATTCCAGTTGAGTAATGTAAATTGTGCAATGGATATACTGCAGTAGATATTCTTAGGAAATGACAAGATTTCATTAAAACAAAATTTCCTGCAATATTTAAATTCCAGAGGATCTGCACTTCATTGCATTCGTATTTTACTGCATTTTGTTTCTTTAGAGCTCCGAAGAAGACTCAATAAATAGATGAAGCATTTGCATTATAGAAGGAACTATGTCATTAATGATCTACTCATAGAGTTCCCAATACTAAGATGTTTAATTCGTCAGTTATTAGGCCAGTCCATTACTTATTCGGCTGGTCCGTCAGTTATGTAGCCAGTCTGTCAGTTATTTGGCTAGTCTATCAGTTATTCGGTCAGTCCATCTGTTATTCGGCCAGTCCGTCAGTTATTCGGCCAGTCCGTCAGTTATTCGGCCAGTCCGTCGGTTATTCGGCCAGTCCGTCGGTTATTCGGCCAGTCCGTCGGTTATTCGGCCAGTCCGTCAGTTATTCGGCCAGTCCATCAGTTTTCCGCCTGTCCGTCAAGTTTTCCGCCTGTCCGTCAAGTTTTCCGCCTGTCCGTCAAGTTTTCAGCCTGTCCGTCAAGTTTTCAGCCTATCCGTCAAGTTTTCAGCCTGTCCGTCAAGTTTTCAGCCTGTCCGTCAAGTTTTCAGCCTGTCCGTCAAGTTTTCAGCCTGTCCGTCTAGTTTTCAACCTGTCCATCAAGTTTTCAGCCTGTCCGTCAAGTTTTCAGCCTGTCTGTCAGTTTTCAACCTGTCTGAGTCAGTCTGTCGTTCGGCCTCCCCGACAGTTATTGGGTCTGTTACTCATGTTGTTTAGTCTGCCTGTCATCCAAGCCACCCATCAATCCATCTGTCTTGCGCTAGTCCATCCGTTCTGTGACCAGTCCGTTCGTCCATCGTGTATCCATCATCAATCCATCTGTCATTCAATCCGTCAGTTCGTCATTCTATCCATCTGTCAGTCGGTCATTCTATCCATCCCGTCTGTCTGTCATCCCTAATCAAGTCTGTCTGTTGGTTTGTCTTTCTATTTGTCTGTCAGCCTGTATTTCAATCCATCTTGGTCCGTCTGTCAGGTTGTGTCTGTGTGTTAGCATCTGTCAATCTGCCTGTTCATCTATGTGTTAGTCTGGCTTTGTCTGTTCATATGTCTTTTGTTTATCCATCCTTCATTCTCTGAATATGTCTATTTGGCATATTGTCTGTTAATATGTACTTTCATCAGTAAATCGATATTTGTCAGACTGTTCGTTTCTTATTCATTTTCATCTGTCATGCTGTTGAACTTGTCAGACCATCTACCATGTCATGCAGCACATGTTTTATGTTTGTCTGTAAGCAAACCTTTCTGGATTTTCTCAAATATAAAAAGTCCCTTATCAATTTAGCTGACAAAGTGGCTTCTTTAATTTGAAATGGATTTCTAGAGAATTTTTTTTTTTTAAGAAATAATTTTCATGAAACTCCTGCAATTTTTAAAATGTGCTTGAATAGTCCATAAAATTAATGCATAAAAGTTAAATGCGCTTTATAAAAACAATGAATGCTTATAAAAGTCACTAGTTCTAATGTTGCGTTAAAGCCTTCGAATTTTTAAAAAAGATATTTTTAAATTTTCCATCCTCTCTTAGCAACTACATTATAAAAGACATTATTTTTTGTTAATGAAATCATTTCTTCAAAATTAGATCTTTAAATGATGTCATGTACAATTTTTTGATAACATGAATCCTTTTCTTGAAATTTGAGTTAATCTTATAAGTTGTTTAAACAATTTTATTTCCAAAAATGACTCCAAACTTTCTCTTTAATTCTTTTTTCAAGAAGAGCAATGGTTTCTCTACAGATTAGAGAAAACCATGAAAAAAGTCGGAAATAATTCCAGTTTTTCCAGCTCTGCCAGAGTTAGCACAGGGTCGAAAACTTGGGGTTTTAACTAGTGCTTTGGTACATGCAACTTATCCAAAGAAAAGTTTTTATGACATCATATTTTTTCTATGATGTTATGTACATGCGGGTAAAATGTACTTTGTGGCTGGGCTATAAGTAATTATGCCCCTATTGAAGAAATGAAAGTTGTTAAGTTAATTGTTGAATAAATATGTTTTTGTGTCTGCAGGCAATCTAGGGGGAACTTCTTGGGGAGGTTCAAAACCCACCACCCCAATGGGTGGGACACCCCGTGCTGGTAGTCCTACCAACTTTGGTGGAGGGGTTGCAGGAACGTCTCCTCAGCACCGACCAGCGAACTGGGCTTCACAGGTAAGTTGAAAAAAATGTTTAAGAATTTAGCGCTCTGTAGCAGACTTCCACAACCAAAGGCGGGGAAGCACATTCAGGCGACTACTGTCAAAACACAGGTCTAAATGGCAGTGTCCATTTGTGACGTGCCACAGAAGTTCTGCTGAACCTGTCATTGCCTTCTGCCTGACGTTGGCCCACACTCCCGCAGTCTGTGGTGGTGGCAGTGGTAGTGGCTGTGTGGGAAGGGCTCTGCTGCTTCTTGGTGGTGCCACCTAGTGGCTCCATGTAAAGGCTCCCTTAGCAAGATGTGTTGCCCTGTTCCTCAGGGGCGATCAGCTGCTCATGAATAATTTGGTTTCTAGTGCCGAGCTGTGAGCATGTGTGCCTGCAATGAGTGTGCATGATTACTGATTGGAATATAAAAAACTTATTTGCATCGGTAAACAAACTACAGATTTGATTTTATTGTATTGCTAACAAAACAGCAACCGCACTTCTGGCTCTACTCTTACCACAACTGGCAAAAGGAATGCTCCACCTAACTTATGCGTAGTGAAGCTACATTAATGTTCAGAAGCAAAGTAAGGGACCATCTCAGCATTTGCTCAGGGAAACTGGACAAAAATGTAATTGATACGGGGGTCATTGACCCTGAAGCTGAACTTCATTTCTTGTTAGCAATATTTAGTCTTTTTATTATTCAGTACAAATTGACTTGCATTTGCTAATTCGTGAACATTATTTTTTTTTTTTTTAATTTTTCATCTTTAAAAAGTTCTCTAACGCATATTAAAACCATGTTAGTAATTGTTGAGTAATAACCTGATAAGAGGAAAAGTTTCATGTATGCCTTGCATTCCAACTAGTTTTTACATCTTTTGAGCAGTATTGTATTATTGTCGACATATCTTCATCACAAGAAATATTAGGCTGAGTCATCTCCATTTAAAATTTCATAAAATATCTGAGTATCTCTAGTGTTTACAATTTACCTTTAAAATGCTGGTTCAATTCCTCATGTATCCATGTTATATTACAATAGTTTCACTTGAGATCAGGTGAACATAGAAATGAGTTCATTAATTCTTTCTCTCAAGAATCTATGCATCTCATCATTTTCCTTCGTTCAATTTTATTTTAGGGTGGAATTCCTCAGGGTGCCACATCTCCAGTACCTGGTTACACACCAGTGGGGACACCTCATCACCAAGTTAAATCCCCAGAATCTACTCGAGCAGACTACAGTCGTTCTCACTTTGACTCATTAAATAAACAAGCTGATCAAGGTAACAGTCACTGAGGTATTGGCCCTGTTATGTACAATGTACCTACTTCCGTTTGATATTTTGCTCATTTTGTAGGTAAAGGTACTAAACCTAAAAGTGGTGACGTTTTTGGAGATTTATTGGGGAGTCAAGGTTATGCTTTTGCTTCAAAGAAGGAAGCAGGACCTCGAACTATCAATGAAATGAGGAAAGAAGAAATTGCAAAGGAAATGGATCCAGATAGATTAAAGGTATTGGAATTGCAAATGATTTAGTAATGAAATATTTGTGAACAACATCAAAACTATCTTGTTCATTGTTATTGTACTATCATTGTTCTTTACAGATTCTTGACTGGACTGAAGGAAAAACTCACAATATACGAGCTTTACTGGTCTCTATGCATACTGTGCTGTGGGAAGATGCAAAGTGGAATAAGGTTGAAATGCACCAGCTTGTATCAGCTGCAGATGTGAAGAAAGCATATCGCAGAGCATGCCTAGCTGTCCATCCAGATAAGGTGAGTGATTTCACTTTCTCTGGTCTTTTTGAATTATATTTTCAGATTTCTCTTACTAATCCAACCCAACTCTACATTCCCCTTTTAATTACTGAATTCTTAGAAATGGTAATCATCTTTACCAGGTAGCAAGCACTAGCTTTAATCAGCAAGCTTTAATAAACTGCATAAATTGTGTTATTTTGTGAATGTGGTAACTTTATTGGTATTGCAGTACCTCTTCTGAATGATAATTCCTCTGACTACGTTTTAGTTGGTCACTGTTTGGACATGCTTTAAGGGAACTAATTTCTTTGTACTTACAAAAGGTCCTAAATAACTTGTAGTTACCATTAGTGTTCTAGGAGTCTAATTTAACTCCCTTGACTGTTCATGGTAGTAACTGTTATTGAGCCTTAATAACTCACAACACTGTATTCACAGGAAATGTTTTTTGGGTAAAGGCTTGTTTGTTTTTTTACTTGAACAACAAACAATACAAGAAGTATTTAGTGATCAAATATCCAAGTCCATTAATAAGTCATACATATCCAAATATCCATTAATAAGTAATGCATAAGGCTGTTCTTGCATTCAAAACAACATTACAAGTAATCCTCCTAAAATCTTGAGTCAGCAATCTGATGCTATGTACTTCAAAACAATCAATAATGGCATATACAAGTGTGTAGACTTACTCAGTCCAAGTTGAAACAATGAGTTGTGATGACCACAAAAATCATCATCAAATATTTTAAATTTTTGTCTCACTAGATAAGGTGTTACATGTTGTTTTTTTTAATTGCTTGTGTGTAAGGCTTTCAAGCAAACTCGCATATATAAATTTCGCAAAGAGGCAGATATCCCCTATTATTATGCCACACTGGGCTTGCAAACTTTAAACTATTCATAAAGTAGAAGTACATTTGTTGCTGTTTTTATGGCTAGAAAATATTTGACTTTTCTTTTGCTGCCATTTGTATTATCACTGACAAGGCTTCATAGTCACTGATGCCACACCTGTTTCTGCCTTCTGCAAAATCACAGAATAGTGATTGCCCAGTGCTTGCAACAAATGCTCAGTGAACAGTATGAGGGGGAAAACTCACATTTCCAATATTATACAGACTTCTTGAAGTGTCCTCAAAGGATCACTCATCACACATTGGTCTCCTCTTTTTCATAATGTCTATCAGCGATCTTGATAGTAAAATTTATTAGTTGCTCTTTGCAGGATATTTGAAAATATTTAAAGCATTTCAAACACAAGCAAATTGTATAGTTTTACAATGCAACGTAGATCTACTTTCAAGATTGTGTGATGATGATGATGATGATAATGATAATAATAATATTAATTTAATCCAAGAGATATGTATCTGTCTATTGCGTTAACGAGATTTAAAATAATTTCAAGTTTGTATGTAATAAATAGTACCAATTTGAAAACAATCGGTCAGTGGGTGAGTGTGATCTTTGATACAAAAATGAGCTTCAGTTATTAGTAAGGTTTCTCAACAGTTGGGATTTATAAGAAGAACACATGATCTGATATCAAGAAAAATCTCAGAACTATGTTCATTCTTCTTAGATCTCTGCTGTTATTTGCCTCTAGTTTTGGACTCCCTTTTATTATGTTGTATATTATATTAGACACTTGGAATCAGTACAACATACGTTTTTCAGAATTGTAGCATCAGTGATCTCACTGATCCCTATCTGAATCGTCACCACACTCAATTGTCAACATGCAAAATATTTCATCTTTAATATCTTTGATCATCAATATGAACATCTTTAACAGTGTAAAATTTATCTTAAAACTTTTTAAAAGTGCAATTTCATGTCCTGATTTATTAAATGAATCTGGTTTTTAAGTGCCATATAAAAAAAATAAAGCAATTCAAATTCTTTGCAATACCAATACTTGTGGCAACACCAATGGCAATACCAATACTGTGGCAATACCAATACTTGTGTACAATTAGCTTACCGGACTGTTGTACCCAAGTTCTCTGTTTCAAACCCAATTGAAACCGTCAATTTTTAAGGCGAAAAAATGCTTCATACACCTTTTCTCAGAGGGGAAGTAAAGCTGGCAGTCCCATATGCCCCCCACTGTGATCTTAAATTATAGAAGATGGGGGATTCCTATTTAAACATTTTTCTCCCCCCTCCCTGACACACAGGGGGTGTGGGTAGGGGTTGGAGTTTGGTGTCATTGGATGTTCCCTGCCAAAACAAACAACTTTTGTTATCAATTTTTTTTATCCAATGTGTAGTTTTCAAGATATTTGTCCCGATAGGTTAAAATATCCCATCGTGTATAATCTAATCCCAGCTAAGTCAAAAAATATTTTGTAACACAAAACCAGAACTTTTACAACTGCAGAAAAAATAAAAATTTCAGAGGTATTGTTAGTGTAAACAATTTTGCTTAGACATCCATTTTCTTTCTCTCCTTGATCTTTCAGTGTGTTGTATTAAGTAGTGAATGGGATAACAGTATTATTAATAACTAATTTAAGTTAAAAACATTTAAAGTAATAAAAAAAGTTTGCCTCCCTTGCACAAATAAATTTAGACAAAGAGAGACAAGTAAACAACAGCCACTATTTAGATTTGTTATTGCCCCAAGTTCTCCAAAGCAGTGCATTCTTGGAACTCCTGTATAAACTATTTGATTGGATAGATACAATCAAGTTTGATGTCTAACACCAGCAGGGGTGCACATAACGATAGATAAAAACCTTTTTTTATTACCCATGGGTGATAAAAACTGATAACACAAATGTCATAATTAGTTGGTAATAAACTTCAGTATTGCCTTGGTTTTCAAATTTTAAATATTACTGTTATTTACTGCTTATTGGCTTAGTGACATTAAGAACTACAAAAGGATTAGAACGAAATTCAGACTTCTATATTTATTAAGAAATGTTACTATTTTAACCAAGCCCATCAATTAGAATAGAAAAGGAATGTTACTAATCCAATTAAAGTACAACAAATAAAAACTAAGTATTCATTGCAAATATTCCAGATTTATTTATTCATAAATTATATCTTATAATAGCTTTTCCTCATTGACTATTCAGAAACATTTTTGAATTTATTCAGTAATGATGATTGTAACTATTTCAGCAAATGGGTACTCCAAATGAAAAGATTGCTAAAATGATTTTCATGGAACTTAACAATGCATGGAGTGATTTTGAAAATGATGCGAGTCAGCAGCAGATGTTTTCAACTTGAACAAGCAAGGATCATTTGTCTCCTGGAAGAATGAGGCAGTATCTATATGTTATTTTATAAATTATGTCTCATTGACTGTCCCTTTCCTGCTGTATTACTATTTCAGTACTTACCCAGATCTGTTAATATTTTAGAAATTGATGTCAAAATGTTGTCAACATTTTCAAGTCATTGTTAAGAAAATATGCAGTCTGTGCAGAAAAGTAACTAAAGCAAATCAAGCATCTTTGTAGTGCTATCTAAGGGGTAGAGGCAAGAAAGTGTCACGAATGACAGTGCCAGAAGTGACTTAATTATTTCACTTTTGTACTGTTTAAGCATGTATTCTTTTCTTTGCAAAATGTGCAAATTTAATTAGAAAGACATGTTGTAAATGCATATCTGAAAGCGGTAATAGTGAAAGTAGCCACAGGCTTTGGTTCACTCAGTGATGCCTTAGTTCTGATTTCACTATTATTTTGATTATCTCTTCAGCATTTTACCTAATATGGCAGCAAAAAAAGAAGAAAACTTTCCCAATGTGGGTGTAAATGTGTCTGCTCACGAATTTGCTCTTTAAAATTACTATCAATAACATCTGATGTTTAACTTGTGTTTGACCACACAAGAAAATGTATTGGTTTTCTTACAAAGTATTATATTAAGCTTTTCTTTACTATGTTGTTGAAATTCTTGTTATTGTTTTGAATTAATTTATGAATATTAAAGACATCTGCCATTTCTTAACAAAGCCAATTAGCTAAGCTCAATTCTATTTTTTGTTGGTCTATCTCTGTTTAACACTTGGGGATAAATGTGTTTGTACATATATGTGTGGTGCATTGATGTCTGTTAATGAATTTTAATGTGTAATGTGAACTGAAAATTTGAGCTTACTGTGTATTATACAGTATCTTGTTGTAATATATAAATGTTTTATTATTATTATTATTTTCATGTTAGTAAATCCTTTGTGTTTCCCCAGTGTTGATTTGGAAGTTGTATACATTCCTTTTATATGATTCAGATTGTTCTATTTATGTTATAAGTTTCAGAATATTGAAATCAATATTTGTATAATTTTTATTGAGGTATAAATGTACTGTTGTTAGATTCTACTTATTAATTATATCAGTTCAGAACTGTTTCCTGCTATTCATTTAGAGTATAATTAAGTTAAATGCCGTGAATTCCTTATTGAAGGAACCTACAATTTTTTATCAGTGTGGAAAGTAAAATGAAGGTTTCCTCTGTGCATGAAACCAGTTCCTTGCAAATGATGTAGGGAGCATGTGATAAATATACCATGTGCTTAGTAAGCGTTATTAATAGATTATGCAGATCAAATTGTAGAAAGAAGAAAATGGGCAATGCCACAGCATTTAAAAATGTTATAAATCTAGGTGATGCAGCTTTGTAAATTGATGGGAAATACAGATAAAGTCTTGTACTGGTAGGTTATTAACAGACTGTGTGATTAAAATCAGTTGTACATCCAGCACGATCCTTTCTGAAAACAGCTAATAATTAAAAATGCATTTTAAATTCTTTACTTTTGCCAGAAAAAAAATCTGCACTACAATGTAAATTCATTCACATTTTAATCATTGTAATTGTATTGTGATATGATTGTAAAGTATTGTTTATAGAATTATATTTTAATATATTTTATTTTCTTCATATAAAATTAGAAATTTAATTTATAATGAAGAAAATTTGGGAACAGATGTTTTATCAGATGGTATGTTCTTTTTTTTTCCTCTCTCTCTTAAGCAGCCCTTTAACTTCAAAACTGCCCTTAGATGAATGCTTATTAAATAATATAGAACATATATAAATGATGTCTTTGATCAAATAATATCTTATCTACTAATTTCTTCTAAGTAGAATCATGAACTTGAAATTATAATGTAGGTAATAGTGATATGGCTGATGTGCGCTTTGTGTTTAATTCATTTATGTATGATTATTTTTAGTTGTACATAAGCGGATGTATTTCTGAACAATATTGAATAGGTAATCTATGTATCAATTTTGGAAAGATTGTGATTTAAAAATAAGCCATGACTTAGCCACTAAATATTTAAAGTTTAATTTAGAAGTCATTACTTGTTTCTCTGGAATCATTAGATATTGGTTATATTGTGAGTTTGGGAATCATTATGATCTCAATGTGTTGATCTGCCATATCCATTTCATATTAAGTATGCTGTATTTATTTTTGGACGTGTTGGAGATATTGATTAACTAAGAGTCTACTGTAGTACTTACTTTGTATCTTGTGTTCCTAGTTGCGACCTAGCTGTCATGAATGAATGAACATTTGGAAGCCCGTGGTGGTTTCATAGCCACATATTTTGTCATTTTGTAATGTTTATTTTGCTAGTTAGAAAGGAAAATGTGGAAAAATGATGACAGTATGATGTGGATGTGTTATGTAGTTCTAAATGTCATGTATATGCTGTATATATGTATATGGTTAAGTCTATTTTTGACTTGTAAAACACAGAAATACTCAATATTGTGTGTTGATATTGAATCGCAAAATTTTGTGTTTATTATCAGTATTGATAAAATGAGATAGGTTGTTTAGCATGCAATAATTGAACTGGTGAGAAAGCCATCCTTGAAACAGGTGCATGTCACCTTGGTTTCTGCATAAGAATAGTGTCTGTAATTAAGCAAATCAAATAAGGCTGGTAAATACTGATTGTGTATGTTGGATTTCCTAGCACATATCTGTATTATACCCTAAATGTTTTATTTTTCTGAGTGTAATTGAGGGTCAACTGGTCGAGTTACCTCGTGATTCATGCACCTGTGCCTGTATTTTCTGACTGGGTTATATACACCATGCAACAGAAATGGCATGTTATAATTCTGATACATTTGATCTTTCTCTTCTCGTTTTTAAGGGCAAAAGCAATTTTTGTGTAGAATGTTGATAAAGCCCTGAAAAACAAAACATGGAAAGAAAAAAAAAATCCACAAGTGTCTCTCAAAGGGTATAATTAGACATATCACTCTAGATAATACAGGGTTCCTGAAATAGCCACCTAAATGGTATCTAGAGTGTTACTGATACAGTTTGGAGGTAAATCAGTGCTGGTTTTTTCACTGGGAAAAGTACAAAAACCTAAGAGTGATCATGCCCATCTATGCAACTTGGATCAGCATTGCTCGCAGATAGAATAATCTTCATTTCCATTATAAAATAGTTACGTTTATATACTTAAAATTGTTAGTTTTGTCACAACCAAGATTGTTTTTGGTTTTTTTTAAGTACAATAGGTCAATCAACTGAAATCTTGCAAGAAACAATCATTTTGATCACAAAATTCACAATTTTTTTTCTACATTGGATAAAAAGGCTTCTTTTATGAATCAATGGTTTCGTCTGTACTCTTCATGGTTATTAAAACAAAGTGCCATCTTTGTACACAAAAGATTTTTTGCACTATGACGGTACATTTTTCAGGTATCAAAAAACATTGACCAAGTTAAACTAAGAGCAACCATAATTAAGAAAGAAGCAATTCTTTAGGAAATTGATTGCTTTGTGTTAAAACCTAACTTATTTACATGAATCATTATATTCTCAAAAAGACAATATTGTTTCTGAATGAGATTAAGGTTAAGGTTAGTAAGTGTACATAGTAAAAATAAATGGGATTTGCCCTCCTTAAGAAAAGCACTGGTTTAATCCCCCAACTCTTGTATCATTTTTTTTATAAATTCTTTTTCTCTCATGATGCCAAGTGCTGTAAAAGACCTTTCTAAGAATGTATTGAAAACAGTATGTCATTAGAAGATATGAAAGTAAAATTTTAGCAAGTTAAAAATGAAAAAATAATCTTGAAAATACACCAGAAGTAATCAGTGTAATGCATTTCATTTTTGTAGATGGCTTTTACATATTATTGATCTTAAATTAAGAAATGTTTCTTGGGCACACTTGGCCCAATTCTCTCATTTTAGAAAGAAGGCAATTTTAAAAATGTATTTTGGTATTGTATAATTGTTCTGTCAAGTGCAAGTTAGATACTAGTCTTAAAATACCATGTTACTTCCATTCGTTCAAATACATAATTTCTTTCTCTGCATTTTACAGCTTTTCAGAAGTCATAGTAGTAATTAATGCACATGTTAAATTGTGAATTTCCCCTGAGTACCCAAATTTCTAGAAATTTTTACCTGATTAGATATTGTAAATAATCACAAAAAAATTATAGTTCCATTGAACATTTTTTGAACCTTAGTTTTATTTTCAAAAGTTCAAAATATGGTGAGTAGTTATTTTGATTCATTGATTATTGTCAATGATCTCAACATTTTAAATGAAGGAGATCAGATGTGTCAGAATTAAGAGTGATAATTGTTGAACATTAATTATGAGAATCTTTGTGATCAAGATTAATTTTGGCTGCTGACAATAAGGTGAAAACAGACTATTTAAGAATTAGGCAAAGTAGACCTCTTTGATTTTTAGGAACAGCAGCATCTCAGAGCTGATTTGCGGACATAATTTGAGATAAACATTGAAAGATTGATTTGGTAGCAAGTCGTATGACAAAAGTATGCACCTGGATTTTAGCCATGCCTTGAATAAAAAGACTTGCAAACAATAACATTTACATTTTTCATTAGCATCCCTTTCCTGTCTTGATTTTTTTTATTGAAATGTGTCACCGATTTTCTTGGCATATTCTATCACCTCAGATTATTTCTCAGCTCCACTAGATTAACTCATTCAACAGAGAAATCAATGCAGTAATTTCTTGAGAAAAGAAATTCATTGTTCTGCAAGAAAAGTACTGATTCATTGATCCTTATCATGATTATTCTTTCAACAACTATTGCATGTGCCCATGTGAGAATGAAAGTTTTTAGGAGATAAAATGCACTGCTATTAATGGAATTCTCTACCAAGACAATTTTGTTTTCATAGTAAGTAGTTGCTCATGGTACAGAAAAAGATATAAATGAACAAATTAATTCTTAAATATACACGGTTAATCTGTGAACATGATATATTTGAAATAAATCCAAAATACACAGAAGTAAAATCAAATTTTGAGAGACAAAAGTTTACAAACCACCTCTAATAAGAGAAGACTTATTGAATACAAGTATATATTACGCAAACTTATTTTCACTTAAAACATTTATTGGAGGGCACAAAACCTTGGAAAATTTCATTAGACTTCACTGTATTAACATTTTTGCTGCTAGTGTACATAAAGTTTATAATTTTTTGGGGGTGTACCTTTAAAGTCCAGAAAATTATACTTTCCCTTCATACTTGGAAACAAAATTGACTGCTACACCCACATAACGCTTTCTTAATTAGTTAGAGGACAAAAGCAATAGCACAGAAATTAATTTATTTATATAAAAACAACATAGAAACATGCCCATAATAATAAAAAAAGTCCTCATTATGAAATGTCAGTAATGAGAGCCTGCAATTAATATTCAACATTTCAACGATGTTAATCTTGCAATTAAACCGATTAAATACATTCGTAAATACCCGTTTACTTGCGGAATTACATGTGCATAACTTTTGGACCATTCAAAGAGTCGCTGAAATATCTGTGCTTACCAACTACTGCTCCTCAAAAGTCAAAATAAATCAAGACAATACTATTTGCTAAGATATTATTGTTTCTTTTTCTGTGAGAATAGTTTTCAAATTTCCGTGATAATTTGCGACTGTTGTGTCAACAAATTTAAGATGTAAAAAATAGAATTCAAGAGAAGACCTGCTGGTACTCGTGCGAAAGACGAAGATCAAGAATTCGGCGTTCGTCAGCCACGTGGGCAAAGACTGACAGGTGTGTGGTAATGAAGGGTGGTGGGGAAACTTCCCTGTGACGAATGCCTTTTTCTCCACTTGCCTCGTGGATTCTTACTATCAGTATATGAAAGTAAGTTCATTGTGACAGAAGGCCATTTGTGTTCTAAATTGTGAAAAAAAGTAGGTTAATGAAAGGGAAATTATTTAAAGGATGTTTTTATATGCTTCAAGCTATGCATTTTCGCCGTGTAGACTTATAGCATTACTATGCATTTATTCAGTTTCCAAAAAATGCAATCAAAATTGAAATGGAGGATGAAGAAGTCTGTATCGTTGCTTTAGTTTCCCTGCCTGATCATCGAGGAGAAGACAACACAGTAAGTAAAAAAATAATTAATTGTAACGTTGGATTATTGATGGGGAGAATCTTCATAAGGTTTAATTGAATCTGCGCACAGGATGTTTATGAACATTCGGGGTTGCCTAACATTACATTATAATTGAGAGTCATTAGGAATTAAGTACAAAACACGTTTCACGGGTTATTATTTATGAGGAAATGTGAAAAGAGTATAATTTCGTTACAGGAATGGGAGGTTGTCCGTGAATAACGTAACGCTAAAGAGTGAGGGGCGGGGGTCTAAGAGCGTTATACTGCGTTACATAGGGGTAGGAAAGTGTGTGCAAGTGTTACGTAACATTGACATTTTATTTTTTTTAATTTTCCAACATTTGTTGAACTTTTTTTTAGTCGTGTACTAAAGCATTAAAACGTTAACTAATTAATTCGTTTTAAAAACATAAAGTTATTAGGCTAAATTGATACAATAAGTGAAAACCTTTTTGCTACAATTTTTATTGAATCTCCAAGATTACAAAAAAACTGATCTGTAGTATATTTTAGAATCCATTTAAATTGGCGCAATATACTGTCTACAGACTGGCTCATGCCGACGGCGTGTGTGCGGCTTATGATCAAACATTTCTCACCCTTCCTTCACTTAAAAAGGTGCAATCGGCATCGACAACTACGAGTAATTTCGTAATTTCTACTTTAATTATCATTAATTTTAGTATATAACGTAAGTAAAATAAATACAAATTGTTTTTACTGTGCTATAATTTATTTCCACGTCTTGCATTTACGAGAAGAAAAAATACTGGTCACTTGCCTCCTCACCATTTCAACTTTCAAATATAGAATGTACTACTATTGTTAAATTTGATGTAGTTGCAAACATAATTGATATGTATTGTTCC